GGCCAGAGTTGAGCTGACAGGGCCAGAGTTGACAGGGCCAGAGTTGAGCTGATGGGGCCAGAGTTGAGCTGACAGGGCCAGAGTTGAGCTGATAGGGCCAGAGCTGAGCTGACAGGGCCAGAGTTGACAGGGCCAGAGTTGAGCTGATGGGGCCAGAGTTGAGCTGATGGGGCCAGAGTTGAGCTGACAGGGCCAGAGTTGACAGGGCCAGAGTTGAGCTGATGGGGCCAGAGTTGAGCTGACAGGGCCAGAGCTGAGCTGACAGGGCCAGAATTTACAGGGCAGAGTTGACTGACAGGGCCAGAGTTGAGCTGACAGGGCCAGAGTTGACTGACAGGGCCAGAGTTGAGCTGACAGGGCCAGAGTTGAGCTGACAGGGCAGAGTTGAGCTGATAGGGCCAGAGTTGAGCTGACAGGGCTAGAGTTGAGCTGACAAGGCCAGAGTTGAGCTGACAGGGTCAGAGTTGAGCTGACACGGCCAGAGTTGAGCTGATAGGGCCAGAGTTGAGCTGACAGGGCTCGAGTTGAGCTGACAGAGCCAGAGTTGAGCTGACAGGGCCCGAGCTGACAGGGCCAGAGTTGAATTGATAGGGCAGAGTTGAGCTGACAGGGCCCGAGCTGAGCTGACATGGCCAGAGTTGAGCTGACAGGGCCAGAGTTGACTGACAGGGCCCGAGTTGAGCTGACAGGGCAGAATTGAGCTGACAGGGCAGAGTTGACTGACAGGGCTCGAGTTGAGCTGACAGGGCAGAGTTGAGCTGACAGGGCAGAGTTGACTGACTGGGCTCAAGTTGAGCTGACAGGGCTCGAGTTGAGCTGACAGGGCAGAGTTGAGCTGACAGGGCAGAGTTGACTGACAGGGCTCGTTTTGAGCTGACAGGGCTCGAGTTGAGCTGACAGGGCAGAGTTGAGCTGACAGGGCCAGAGTTCACTGACAGGGCCAGAGTTGACAGGGCCCGAGTTGAGCTGACAGGGCTAGAGTTGAGCTGACAGGGCAGAGTTGACTGACAGGGCCAGAGTTGACAGGGCAGAGTTGACTGACAGGGCTAGAGTTGAGCTGACAGGGCCAGAGTTGAGCTGACAGGGCCAGAGTTGAGCTGACAGGGCAGAGTTGACTGACAGGGCCAGAGTTGACAGGGCAGAGTTGACTGACAGGGCTAGAGTTGAGCTGACAGGGCCAGAGTTGAGCTGACAGGGCCAGAGTTGACTTACAGGGCCAGAGTTGACAGGGCCAGAGTTGAGCTGACAGGACCAGAGTTGACAGCGCAGAGTTGAGCTGATGGGTCCAGAGTTGAGCTGACAGGGCAGAGTTGAGCTGACAGGGCCAGAGCTGACAGGGCCCGAGTTGAGCTGACAGGGCCAGAGCTGAGCTGACAGGGCCAGAGTTGACAGGGCAGAGTTGACTGACAGGACCCGAGTTGAGCTGACAGGGCCAGAGTTGAACTGACAGGGCAGAGTTGAGCTGACAGGGCCAGAGTTGACAGGTACTCTCCAGAGAGACCTTATGACCAGATCAGAGGAAAATACAAAAGGGATTTACTCCAGGCACACAAGGTTGGTTCAAGGTTTGAAAATCATTTTATGTGATTCATTACAGAATAGGCTAAAGAAGAAAAATCATTTTGATAGACACATGCTTTGTGTGTGACACAACCCAACAGGCATGTATGAGAAAAACACAGCAAAGTAGGACTTTAGGGAACTTCCTCAATTTGTTTAAAAACATACAAAAACTACAAACAATATTACACTTTCTGGTGAGACACCAGAAGCTTTTCTGCTAAGCTCAGGGACAAGGCAAGGCTTTTCCCTCTCTCTACTTCCATTCAACTTCCACTAGAAGCCCGAGAAAGGGCAATAGGACAAGTAACTAAAAGCCACACAGACTGCGGAGGAAGGAAGGAAACTATGCTTGTTCACAGAAGACGTGACAATCTAGGTAGGAAATTCCCAGGAATCAACCCAAAAATCCTTAAGCTAATATGCAATTATTAGCAAGGTTGCAGGATACAAATATATAAAAACCAATTTCTTTCCCATTTATCTTCAATGAATTATTGGAATCCGAAATGAAAGACACAGTATCATTTAAGTTAGTATCCCTAAAATAAAATACATAGGTACAAATATAACAAAATACGTACATGATTATGAGGAAAACTGAAGAACACGGATGAAAGAAATCAAAGAAAAACTGAATGGAGAGATTCTCCCTGTTCCCGGAAATCAACACTCACTACTGTCAAGATGTCAGTTCTTCCCAACTTCATCTGTAGATTCCAGGCAAACCCACAATCAAAATCCTAGCAAGTCATTTTGTGGATATCAACAAACTAATTTTGAAGGGTAGAAAGGCAAAAGACTCAGCGTGGCCAACACAGGAAAGAAAGAGAACAAAGCTGGGAGACAGACACCACCTTACGTCAAGGCTTAACATAAAGTTTCCCCAATCAAGATGGTCTGGCGCTGGTGAAGAAACAGAAAAATGGCTGCATGGAACAGAAGCGAGAGCCCAGAAACAGACCCACACAGATAAAGCCAACTAGTCTTTGACAAAGGTGCAAAGGCAATACAACAGAGAAAAGACAGTTTCCTCAACAAATGCTACTGGGACAATGGGCATCCGCATGCAAATCACCATCACCATCACCATTACCATCTCCATCACCATCACCATCAGATGCAGACTTTACACTCTTCACAACTGTCAACCCCAAATCAGTCACAGACCTAAACATAAACTGCAAAATGATGACTCCTAGATGATAACATAGGAAAAAAATTTATGTGGCTGCGGTGATGACTTTTTAAATTAAAAAAACTAAAGGCATTATTTATGAAAGAAAGGAGTGATAAACTAGACAACATTAAAATTGAAAACTCTGAGAAACACATGGTCAAACATAAGCAGACAGGCTACAGATTGGGTGAAAATATTTGCAAGAGACAGATCTGATAAAAGGCTGCTATCCAACATACACAAAGAACTTTTAAAACTCAACAATAAGGAAACCACCTGACTTTAAATGGGCATAGGAGGTGTGTGCATTTGGCTCAGCACTTAAGATGACACTTGGGGGGCCGGCACTGTGGCTCACTTGGTTAATTCTCCGCCTGTGGCGTCAGCATCCCATATGGGCGCCAGGTTCTAGTCCCAGTTGCTCCTCTTCCAGTCCAGCTCTCTGCTGTGGCCCGGGAGGGCAGTGGAAGATGGCCCAAGTGCTTGGGCCCCTGCACCCGCATGGGAGACCAGGAGGAAGCACCTGGCCCCTGGCTTCGGATTGGCGCAGCGCCGTCCGTAGCGGCCATTTGGGAGTGAATCAACAGAAGGAAGACCTTTCTCTCTGTCTCTCTCTCTGTCTGTAGCTCTACCTGTTTAAAAAAAAAAAAATGACACTTGGGACGATCACATATCATATTCAAGTCCCTGTTTGAGTTCTGGCTCCACGTCTAATAGAGCTCCCTGCTAATGTGCGGATATCCCGCCATGCGCTGGTGACGGCTCAAGTGCTTGGGTCCCTGCTCCCCTTGGGAAGCCTGGATTGAGTTAGAGGCTCTTGACTTCAGACTGGCCCAAACCTGGTTGTCGTAGACATTTGGTGAGTGAACCAGCAGAAAGAAGATCTCTCTACCTCTCAAAATATTAAATTAAAAATTGTAAAATGAGAATAAGATCTGAACAAACACCTTGCCAAAGAAAACATATTCATAAAGACAAATAAGAATATGGAGGGGACTGGCAAGTGGCCTAGTGAGCTAAGCCTCTGCCTGGGGCTGTTGGCATCCCATATGGGTGCCTGTTCTTAGCCCAGATGCTCCTCTTCCAATCCAGATCTCTGCTATGGCCTGGGAAAGCTGTGGAAGATGGCCCAAGTGCCTGGACCCCTGCACCTGCATGAAAGAAGCTCCTGGCTCCTGGCTTTGGACCAGCCCAGTTCCAGCCATTGTGGCCATTTGGGAAGTGAACCAGTGGATGGAAGACCTTTCTCTCTGTATCTCCCTCTCTTTCTAACTCTACGTCTCAAGTAAATAAATAAATTAGAGAGAGAGAGAAAGAGAGAGAGAATATGCAGGGTTGGCACTACGGTGTAGTGGGTAAAGCCACCACCTGCAGTAATAGCATCTCATATGGGTACCAGTTTGAGAGTTCGAGACCAGCTGCTCCACTTCCAATCCAGCTCTGTTCTGTGGCATGGGAAATCAGTAGAAGATGGTCCAAGTCCTTGGGCCCTTAGACCGTGTGGGAGACCCAGAAGAAGCTCCAGGCTTCTGGCTTCGGATCAGCGCAGCTCTGGCCATTGAGGCCATCTGAGGAGTGTACCAGCAGATGGAAGACCTCTCTCTCTGTCTCTGCCTCTGTAGCTACACCTTTCCAATAACTAACTAACTAACTAAATAAATAAATCTTTTTTTAAAAAAAATGAATATGGAAAGATGCTCAACATATTATGTCACTAGGGAATTATAAATTAAAATAACAGGAAGATATTAGAAGGGCAAAACTTTTTCAAAAAATTGACAACAACAAATTTGGCAAGGATGTGAAGTAATAGGAATTAATTCTGTCCTGGTGGGAATGCAAAATGGTACAACCTCTAGAAAACAGTTGGCTGGGGTTGTACAAATTAAAAGTATATAACCATATAACTCAGAAATTGGGCTTCTTTGTATTGAAAATGAAATGAAAACTGAAATCCATTTAATAATCTGCAGATGGATGTTTGCTGCAAGTTTACTCACAATTGCCAAAACTTAGAAGCAACCGAAATGTCCTTCATTAGGTGAATGGATAAATAAACTATAAAATATCAGTGATGAAATACTACTCAGCACTGAAAACAGCCAGGCATGAAGACATGAGGGAGTCTTAAATACGTATTGCTAAGTGAAAGAAGCCATCTGAGCAGGCTGCATGCTGTACAATCCAACTAGATGAGACTCTAGAAAAGAGAACGGTGGTCGCTGGGAGTCCATGGGGAGAGAGGGATGAATGAGAATTTTTAGGGTAATCAAATTATTCTTTACGATCCTATAGACATGCATTTCATTGTACATTTGTCAAAACCCACAGAAGATACAACACCAACTGTGAATTCTAACGTAAACTATGGGCCTTGAGTGACAACGGGTCAGCACAGGTGCATTGATTCTATACCCCTTTGGTTGGGGATGCCTACAGAAGGGGAGTCTGAGTGTGGGGGTGGGGAAGACAGCATACGGGACCTCTACCTTCTGCTCAGTTTCACTATAAATTTAAAATTGCTCTAAAAAAATAAATCCTATTTGAAAAATAAAAAGGCCTCCTGGCACTGCCTGGAGGATAAGTGAACTTGGAGGGAGGAGAAAAAGAGGCTTGTCAGAGGATGAAAGGCCTTTAACCAAACCAGGGAGTTCAGCTCGTGGGAAGCAGGAGCTGCTGCAGCTTTATGCATGTGCGAGTGTGCACACTCATCGTGAACATGAATGTGGTGGTTGAGGAAAAGGAGCGAGGCTGCAGCACAGAGCGGGGACGGGGTTAAGGATTCCGCCTCCAGGAAGACACTGCTGTGTGCCTGGCGCCTCCTGCGTCTCAGACCCCTTGGGCCTGGGAATGGTTAGAGGAGGGATTGTTCCCAGAACAGACACACGAGGTGACTGGGAGGGAAGAGCGTCCCGGCTAATGCTGAGGGGATAATTAGAGAAAGAACGGAGCTCTTTCTGAGAGCAGAGATCATCCCCAAGAAAGGATTCCCCGCCCCCGACAAGTCAAGCAAACAGACAGGATTCAGTTGAGTGACAGCACTGCCGGAGATGCCAGTGCCCTGGTCTTTACGCTCTCCCTTCTGCGATCACGAGGGCTTACCTAAGCGGCCAGGGTGTTGGTGGGATGGAGCTTGGGAGGCTGCCTCAGAGGGCAGAAGGGGAAGAATGGGTATTACGAAACCCGCTCTACTCGTCTGTTCCTCTACCACATGGGCAGTAATTGGTTTCTTCCTCTAATTCTCATGGACCTCTTATCTATGAATCAGGAACCCCAGTCTTTCTGTGTTTGTCTGACACATTGTAAGGTGATCACTTCCTCCATTTTGGCCTATATAACTGGTTTTGTTGTTTGTTTGTTTTTTGCAAACTGGCACAATGCCAGGATAGATAAGATCCTGAACAATGAGCTTGAATTTCAAAGATATTATACTGGAGTTTGCAGCTTTGTAAAAGTGCCACCCTGCAACCCCTGCTTCCAAACCACTCGTCGCTGGGGCAGCTGTTGGAAGTTAACGAGCGCACACTTGCCGGAACACTTTATCTTCCACTGGGTACAGAAGATGCTGAGCGAACAGGATGCGTTGACCTTGGAGAAGTGATTCCTTACAGCTGAGCCCGCGAGAGGGATGTTTCCAGGTCAGCATCTGAAAGAGGAAGCAGGGCTTCTTGCTCTGTCCCAGCAGCCACGTCTGCCCAGATCTCAGCTTCGACTGTCTCCTCTCTGACAGCAGCACTGCGCCACCAGCCAGGAAGCCGTGTGGTGTGGAAGTGGCATTTCACCGACAGGCGACTAGGACCTGGTTTTGTTCTACTAAGACTGCTGTCTTCTCTGGCTCCTGTCAGGGTCATGGAGCTAACCAGGCCAGCACTGTCCCGATTCCACAGGGCACTGCTGTGAAGTCAGGTGTCACACAAACACCACCACCAGGGCCTCCACAAACACTTACACTCCTCTCCTTCAACTGCCCCCACCCCCCAGCTTCACATTGCAAACACAAATGCTCAAAGTCCTCTAACTCTCTCCTCATGCAAGCCATTGTCCCAACTTTACCTGGGAGCAGGACAGCTTTTCCTGGCATCTCTGTGTCCTCCACGTATGCGTTTGGAACTCACTGACAGAGTCAGATAATGAGGCTTCTTCCGGATCCTTGTACTCGCCTCAGTGTGGCAGCTCCAAAGAGCAGAGGCAGCAGGCGCTTCCAAGGCACTGAGCAACCTGGGCAGAGCTGCCTTTCTCCAGACACAACAAAATCTAGTCTTCCCATCTCACAGCTGCCCTGAATTCTGGGATTGGAAGTTCACATGGATAGAATGATCACTTAGAAATTCTTATCCCCAACAGGAGAATTCTCTGTGAGCTCTCCAGAGGACCTGCCTGTTCTTCCAGTCCTGGGGAAGAACAAGACCAGGAAGGGTGGCCATTACACGTCCACTGAGCACCTGATACCTGGAGAAAGCAGGGTGTCCTAGGTAATCAAAGCCAGGGATCAGCTGACCACAGCAGTTTTCCTTGTTTGTTTTCATTCCTGTGTCAGTCCCATGAAGACACAAGACTGCATGAGACGAAGCCCCAGCCTCCTGATGCGAACACTAATGAAGGAAGACAAGCAAACGCATCACATGACTCTCAGCTGTGGATGCGGGCCACTAAGCGAATGGCCAGAGATGTGACGGCCTTATGAGGGCAGGGTAAGGGAAGAGGGAACCAGCGGATTAAGACTGTCAGAGCTGTGCCTTGGGAAACTTTACATTCTAAAATGTGGGATGTTGGAAGAGACACAAGAATAGAAGATTGCAGAAGTGTCTCTTAATTAAAAAAAATAAAATAAGAAATATGATTTTCTCCTCTAAGTAGAATAAACAGGGGCTGGTGCTGTGGCATAGGAATCTAAGCCTCCATTTGCCGTTCATGTCCTGGCTGCTCCACTTCCGATCCAGCTCTCTGCTGTGGCCTGGGAAAGCAGCAGAAGATGGCCCAAGTCCTTGAGCCCCTGCCTCCACATGTGAGACCTGAAAGAAGCTCCAGGCTCCTGGCTTTGGATGGGTGCAGCTCTGGCCATTGTGGCCTTTTGGGGAGTGATCCAGGAGCTAGATGACCTCTCTCTCTGCCTCTGCCACTCCACCTTTCAAATAAAAAAAAAAATCTTTAAAAAGAAAAAAAACAAACAAGCATTCTTAATGCTGAACTTTAAAAAAAAGAAAATTGACATGCAGAGTTAGAGCCCAAGACCAACTCGGAGAGATCTTCCATCTGCTGGCTCACTCCCCAGATACCCACAACAGCCAGGACTGGGCTATGCCAGAGCCAGCGACCTGAATTTAATCTGAGTCTCCCATGTGGGTGGCAGGGACCCAAGTAACGGAGCCATCACCCCTGCCTCCCAGGGTGCACGGCAGCAGGAGGCTAAAACTGGAAGTAGGGTCAGAACAGGAACCCGGGCGCTGCAGCATGCGAGGCAGGCAGCCAGAATGGCATCATCACTGTGCAGCAAAGGTGTTCCCAACACTCTGAGAGAAACTGTCTTGTGCAATACTTAATTTTACCCATGAATATATATATATATATTTTTTTTTTTGACAGAGTGGACAGTGAGAGAGACAGAGAGAAAGGTCTTCCTTTGTGCCGTTGGTTCACCCTCCAATGGCCGCCGTGGCCGGCGCGCTGCAGCCGGTGCACCGTGCTGATCCGAAGGCAGGAGCCAGGAGCCAGGTGCTTCTCCTGGTCTCCCATGGGGTGCAGGGCCCAAGCACTTGGGCCATCCTCCACTGCACTCCCGGGCCACAGCAGAGAGCTGGCATGGAAGAGGGGCAACCGGGACAGAATCCGGCGCCCCGACCGGGACTAGAACCCGGTGTGCCGTCACCGCTAGGCGGAGGATTAGCCTGTTGAGCCGCGGCGCCGGCGTTTACCCATGAATATTAAATATCCTTCTGTTTGGCATTGTTTCAAATCCTTTAAAACCATTCAGATGTTGGTACAAGTCATGGACAAAGGTTGAGTGCAAAAATTATGTTGGAAGTATTACATCTTTTGGTTTTAAACACACATTTTCTTAGTTTTTCCTTGAAGATGTACACAAACACTATGCAATGGAACTTTTTGTTAGTGCCAAGGCTGGTGCAACTCAAGATTCGCCATCCCGTGGGAGAAATGAGAAGAGATTCTGGTAATTTTCCTAAATCTGAAAAGCAGTGTAAGAGCTACCTTGTTTAACCTTTCACAGGAAGTAAACAGGCAACGTACACACAGTCATATACAAGAGAAAACTTTATATGTGGTTGATTACAGATAGCACGTCCGTGTAGACTCCACATCATTCCCCATGGAGGATTCATCCACAGTGGAAACCTACGCAAGAGAGCAGGTTTGGTAGATGCGCCAGCGCCTGCCGTGGTACAAGGAAAGATACACTAAGAAAAAGTGCAGAAAAGACGGCAACAAAAACAGGCTTTTATACTTGTTTGGGTGGATTCCTCCTGGGAAGAACACAGAAACAGAGTTTGGGTAAAGCTTCCATGTTTTCCTAGAGGAAACACTTTCCAGGAGGGCACTTCAGAGTCCACCCAGCGGAGAAGCCAGCCCAAGGTAAGCATGGGGGGGTGAGCTCCAGCAAGTACTCCACTCTGCACTACAAAGACCTCCTGGAGAGGAGTAACATCAATGGGAGTACCTGATCCATTACACAAGTGATAACTGACCAGAAAGGCAGAAGCTCCTCATGAACACTTGGAAAATGTTTGGAAAAACCTTTACGGAGTTCAATCTTTTGCTATCATGACTGTCTACTTGACAGTAGCTGCTCAGCGTTCTTCCTGTTAAACTGCACAGCAACTCAACACTCAATTGTCTCAGAACTGATAGAAATCTTAGGCATTTCCATTTTTGAAAAAATGTTTGTTTATTTGAAAGACAAGAGTTACAGGGAGGCAGAGGCAGAGAGAATAAAGTCTTCCATCCACTGGTTCACTCCCCAGATGGCTGAAACAGCTGGAGCTGTGGTGATCCAGAGCCAGGAGCCAGGAGTTTCCTCCGGGTCTCCCACAAGGGTGCAGGGGCCCAAGGATGTAGGCCATCTTCTATCGTTTTCCCAGGCCATAGCAGAGAGCTGGATCGGAAGTGGAGCAGCCGGGACTTGAACTGGTCCCTATATGGGATGCCAGCACTGTACGCAGCAGCTCTACCCACTACACCACAGCTGTCCTACTATTCTACTGCTGGCCCTGGTGTTTTAGTTTTGATATTTAGTTTGATTCTAAATTCTCTTGTCCTTTCCTTCCAGATAAAAGATAATCTGATCAACTTGAATGTCTTGTTTAATGAGAGCTCCGATGGTCCCAGCACTGTGGCCCTTAGACGGATACAAGGAAGTGCAAGGGGGTGTAGACTGGGTCAAAGGTTCTCAGAAGTAACCCTGGAACCACTGTAAGGCTGCTATCTGAACAAACCAAAATAAAGCACCCTCTGGCTTCCTAGAAATCCTAGAAACCGTCTAGTAGGTTGTGGAGAACGTATTTGTGAGAACTTTAGTACTAACTGCTGAATCTAGGGTTGTGTCTCTCATTTGTAAACCAAACCCAAAGAGTTGTTGTTTGTTTGTTTTGTTTTGTTTTTTTAAGTAAACTCTAATCATCCCTGTGACAAAGCTACAGGAATCTATTCTTCCAACTTAGACCCCAAACCCCAAGCCTAAGCTGTTGTGGGTCATTGTGCCGCTGGTTGGCGGCTAAGTTACTGCAGTCATCACTCCACAGCTGGAACTGTTTTGCTCCTAGTCCTGTCCAAGCCTCTCCTGTCACCACACAGCACAGCAAGAACATCCACCTTCCCCTAACCTGGCAAATCTGCTCTTGTCCCAGGTCTCTTCTGAGGTGCGACTCAAGAAAATATGACAGGAAGCGTTACTGAACCATTCTTTCAAGTCCACGGCACTCACTAAAGGAATGGAAGGCAACCTTTACCCTCTCCCTGTCCATCCACCCACCCACCTGAAGCACATGAGGCAGTGGAGCGAAGGGAGGCCAAGAGTAAGGGAAGTGGAACAGATCAGATGGAAGGGCGGGACGGTTGCCTTGTCCACTTGATTTGTACCAGAAAGCAATGTCTTCTCTATCATTGTAGGGGGCCAGTGCTGTAGCTCAGTGGGTTAAGCCACCATCTGCTGCACTGGCATCCATATGGGTGCGGATTCAAGTCCTAGCTGCTCTACTTTGAACTTACCTCCCTGCTAATGCACCTGGGGAAGCAGTGGAGGATGGCCCCTGCCACCCATAAAGGAGGCCCAGGTGAAGCTCCAGGCTCCTGGCTTAGCCCTAGCTATTGTGGTCATCTGGGGAGTGAAACCGCAGATGGAAGACCTCTCTGTGTCTCTCCCTCACTCTTTCAAGTAAATGGATAAATCTTGGGGGGGAAAAAAAAAAGACCATTGTAGGCTCCTAAGTGTTCCCATCAGTTTCATAAGCTCAGCTATGCACCTAAAAACTAGATCCCTTCTGAGGGCCAAAGGCCAGGTGGAACAAAAAAGGGAATGTTCCTGGGCTTCACTAAAACAGCCACCTCCCGCAAGTGCCATACCCCAAGCTCTAAGACAGCCCAGAGAATGCTGCAGAAACACACAGCACTGATCTCTCAGTGGTTTCACACAATTTCTCATTCCTGCAAAACCCAGTGCAGACCCAGGGACGCTGGATCAGATTTCCTGGTTCCTCCCACGTGCTGTCCAAGCAGGAAAGGGGAGCACTGGAATTTTGAAACAGTAAATAAATGCTTCAGCCTAGAAATGAGGCTTTTGCTCACAATCCATCGGCCAAAACTATCTCATAACCCTACTGCGGAAAGCAAATACCATTTATTCTACTTTTTGCTGCTTATTAAAATACAGGTTCCACCAAGGGATGCATTATTGTCTCTTACCCACTGCTATGCTTTCAGAGCCCAGACAGTGCCTAGCGTATGGCAGACCCTCATTAAACTGAACAAATGCAAAACCAGAAAGACACCCACATACATATGTCCTGGAAGAGAAAGAATCCTGGAGTCTAAGGGTGAGGTGTAAGGATTATGCAGACCAGAGCTTCAGGGCTGCCTGTATTAAACTTGTGGGGTGTCTGGCATAGTGGTTAAGATGCTGCTTGGGACGCCCACACCCCTTGTCGGAGTGCCTGCTTCCCAGCTGTTTCCAATTCCAGCTTTCTGCTAGTGCACATCTTGAGAAGCAGGTGATAGCCCAGGCGCTAAAGTCTCTGCCACCGGTGAGGGAGACCTGTGTTACATTCTGAACTCCTGACCTTGGCCTGGTCCTATCCCATGTTGCACGCACCTGGAAAATGAACCAATGAATGGAGGATTTCTATGTCTTTCAAATAAATAGAAGTGTCTTTAAACAAATAATACTTCACATAATTAATCTCAGAATAAAAATCGCTAAGAACGAACGGCCAAAAGCTCAGGTGGCTCTTGTGCAGCGATGAAGCCAAGGAGGAAATCAGCTTAGCGGAACACTGCCACAGTGCTCAGCACCTAAATGGAGCTGTCAAAGCCACAAACACATCTGCATCTTTAATGTCATCAATTAGCCCCACTTATCACTGGGGGCAGGGGAAAGAGAAAGAAACATACACTAACCATGTACCTACTGGGGGCCAGGCTCTGTTTTGGGTATTTTACATTCACCAACTCATCTAATCCCCCAGAACAACCCTGAGTAGTATTTCCTATTTACAGAGAAAAGGGAGATGTCAAAGTGCTTCAGTAACCAATCAAGAAACAGGAATGTTTTTTAAACTACAGACACTACGTCACTCAGGCTAGCTGTGTAAGGATAACCTGTCTGCCCACTAAGTCTGCCTTCACACCTGCTTGATGAGGCTATGTGGCAGCCCACAGACTCTCTAGAGAAGGAGTCTTGAAGTCTGTACTTCTTAAAAATGAGAGATTGGAAGAGATCATTTCTTTAACCTTTTTCCTGATATACCTAAAACCTCTAACAGGAACACACTGGGTTACTGTTGTAGCTAAACAGATATTATAAGAAAACCCACAGGCTGTGGACTTTCAGCAGCCCACAGAAGCTATGACTCAGCCTTTTGTTAAATGCTGTGCTGGGGCAGATAGGCAGACCCTACCCCTTTGACAGCTGACACCGTAAAACCCAACATCATGGATGTCATGGATGTGGACTTGTCTTTTCTTGCCCAACAAACCTTTCCTTTTGGGAAGCTGGTCTCCTGCTCCCTGGATGCCCAGGTCTCCACAGCAAGAAGCCACAGAATGCTGCCTGCAGGATATACACACTACAGTTCTCATAAACAAAGCACCTCTCGTTCTCACCAACAATCAAAGCACAAATTAAAATGTAAATAAAAGCCTGAGATGCTGATATTGAACCATTTTTTCAGGTCTCAGGGAAGTGCTAATTTGTATGGCTACTTCATCCTACTGATATTGTGAGGTAAGTAATCAGTCTAATTTCTTTTACTGTAGAAAATTCTTCACCTCTAACATACATCTCATGGCCACAAATTCTAACTCATTTCCATATGACTTCATTAGAAATGTTTTCCAATTTCCAACCACCAATAAGAAACATAAAATAGTGCATTTTTAGTTTATCTGGTAGATTCCCTAATGCTGAAGTAAATACAATTTCACCACAGTTTTACTGAGAATTCAAGAGCTAAAGGTGCTAAAAAATACAAGGAACTGAAGTGATGTTCTTTTGTGAACAGTGTCCATGACAAAAGAAAGGAAGAAAAATCCAATTTTGTCCTTGGGACACTTTGTAGTACAATTCATTTCTGCCTCATGAAACTGCTGAAACTGTTAAGCATGCTACCCTGAAGACAACAGTATGCACAGAAACACACGTTAGTGCTTTCTGTTCCGGAAGGCCAGCTACAAATGTTTCTACCATGTATGTTTAGATGACACAGAAGATACTGGCTGGCCGCATCTGCTTTTTAAAGCTGAATTTGCTGTTTTTCCGTAAGTATAATCCCCAAGCAGCCTTCTCCCTTATTCAGAATGCTCTTGGAACGTCCCTCTGGATAAGGAATTCCTGAGAGGAAACACAGCGAGCAGTACAACTTATTCCCTGCACGGCCCACCTGATTCCTTTCTACATCTACACCACCAAATTCCTGAACGGTGAAAAATTATTCATGCTTCATGATTCTGTGGGTGTTTGTGTATGTATACACACACACACACACACACACACACCACACACACGTTAGGGTCTCCATTCGGTGCATCTCTTCAGCACGAGGACACTGGACAAGCTTCCCTTTGCCGGTGAAGCTTCTGGTGTCTCAGAAGGCTCGAGCGCCTGCTGAAGTTTCTCTTGCAAGTGCCACAGGCGTACGGCTGCTCACCCGTGTGGGTTCTCCGGTGTTTGATGAGGTGGGAGTTCTGACTGAACTTTTTTCCACATTCATGACAGGTAAAGGGCTTCTCTCCTGTGTGAGTTCTTTGGTGTGTGTGTAGATTTGTATTTTGACTGAAGCTTTTCCCGCACCATGAGCACGTATATGGTTTTATTCCTTGGTGTGTTGTTAAGTGCTTATTGAGATCTGAACTCCATCTAAACCTCTTATCACACTGCTGACATTTATAAGGTTTTTCCTCAGTGTGGATTCTTTGGTGCTTAATGAGGTCAGAGCTAACTTTGAAGCTTTTCCCACATTCCTGACATTTAAAAGGCTTCTCTCCTGCACGGTCTTTCTTGTGAAGATCCATAAGCCTCAGCAGCTCTTGTTTCCAGGGTGTGAGTTTCTTTCTTTTCTTCACTGGAAACTCTCCGTTCCATTTCCCCACTCTGTGAGAATCACCCGGATTTTCTTTGCCTGCTGTTTTCTGGGCAACTTTCACTTTGACTTTCTTTGAAACTATGTTTCCTGGAGATCGTATTTCTAAGTCAGAAAGACATAGAGGCTGATGATTCTCAGTGTCATTTTTGAGCTTTACTCCTGCTGGAATAAACGTAAGAATCAGCTATCTGTATCCCAGAACAAGAAAACCACAGGAATAGAAAGAAGAATTCAGTAATGATTAACACACACACACAACCATGAGCAGAATCTTAAAATGTTAAGCCCACACAAAGGTTTGTATGAAGACACAAATACCTCCTCTCGTGACGGATTTACCTGTAGGAGGCTCCCCAAGACCATGCTGGATCTCCAGGGCTCCCCGAACCCATGGTTCTTCCCCTTGCTCTAAACAGGAGATCACTTTCGGTTTGGGAAGCACAAATAATGCTGTGAAGTGGAGAAAAGGAAGGAGTCAGACTAACAGCGTAACAGTGAACGGGCTCCTTAATTCCAGACTATTTCAGGAAGAAGAGTAAGGGCAATTGTGTAGTATGTTACCCAAGTCCAGTATCATGTTCATATTATCTGGCATTTATGGGTAGACATGAAAAAGCAGAGACCAAGAAATAAACCTAAGGTATGTAATACAAAGGAGCTAGGGAATGGGAACACAGTGCACACTCCTTCTCTTCTGCCATCAAGAATATTTCACGTTTGACCAAGGGGAACTAAGTTCCGGAGGTTGCAGGGACCTAGGCTGGTCCCAACAACCCTTAAATAGCAATAGGACCCATGATGCACAAGACCAGGTTTACAAGAGCCAGGGGAAAGGATAAAGTGAGTCATGTATCATAAAGCACACATCCAATTCACCGCTAACACAGGACCTTTACATTTACCACCAGTCTTTGGAACAGGAGAGTTATACACCCAGATAAAAATCACTTGGTCTATTTTTTCTAAACAGAGACTGCCAGGTACAGAAGGTATTTATGGCTCATTTGTTGAATAAATATTTATTGAGTGACTACAGTGTGCCATATCAGGTTGGAATATAGTGGTGAAGACAAAATTCCCTCATTTAATGAAGCTTATATTCCTTTTTTTTTTTTTTTAAAGATTTATCTATTTATTTGAAAGGCAGAACTACACAGAGGCAGAGGCAGAGAAAGAGAGAGGTCTTCCATCCACTGGTTCATTCCCCAGATGGCAGCAACAGACAGAGCTGAGCTGATTCAAAGCCAGGAGCCTGGAACTTCTTCCAGGTCTCCCACGTGGGTACAGGGGCCTAAGGTCTTGGGCCATCTTCCACTGCTTTCCCAGGCCATAGCAGAGAGCTGGATCAGAACTGGAGCAACCAGGACTCAAACTGGTACCTATATAGGATGCCAGCACTGCAGGCAGCGGCTCTACCCACTACACCACGCACCAGCCCTGAAGCTTACATTCTAATGGGATTATGCTCTAGGGGAGAGCACTGTGGTGCAGTGGATTAAGCTGTTGCCTGGCATGCCTGCAACCCATATTGCAATGCCTGGTTCAAGTCCTGGTATTCTATTTCCAAGCCAGCTCCCTAATTTGCCTGGGAAAACTGCAGAACGTGTCCCAAGTGCTTGGGCCCCTGGTACCCACATAGGAGACTTGGATGGAGCACTGGGCCCTGGCTTCAGCCTAGCCCACTCTGACCATTGTGTCATTTGGGGAGTGAAACCAGAGGATGAAAGATCTTCTCTCTCTGCCTTTCAAATAAATAATAAATCTCAACAGAAAAAAGAGGAGGAGCTGGTATTATGGCCCATCAGGTTATAACGCTGTCATCCCATTATCAGAGTGTCAACTGCGTCCCACCTACTCTATTTCCAGTCCAACTTCCAGTTAATGCACCTGAAAAAGCAGCACAACTGGCCCGTGTGCTTGGGACCCCACCACCTACATGGGACACTAGGATGCAATTCCTGGCTCTTGGCTTCCTGACCCAGCCCTGGCTGCTGCAGTCATTTGGGGAGTTAGCCCACAGATGGCCTCTCTCTCTCTCTCTCCCTTTCTGTCTCTCCCCCTCTCTGTGTTAACTCTGCCTTTCACATAAAATAAATCTTTAAAAAAAAAAAAGCATGCAAGGAAGCTTTAGAGGTAGATCTGGTTCAAGATGACACTTTCTTAGACGAGGATGCTAAATGAGCAAGACATTGAGACACGGTTGGACTCAGGATATAAAGTGAAAATGGAGCTAAGAAAGAGAGCAGTAAGTAAAGTAGTGGGGTATGGCAGCAAGATCAGGGTAAAAGCTGGCAATTACCCAAGCAATTACCCAAGTAACAGTGGTGCTCATTAATAAGATTGGACAGAAATTGAAAAGCAGGTTTGGGAGACAACAAAGAGGAGGAATCAAAAATTTTACATAGGATGAGAAATGAGTTTGTACATTGAGAAAAAGCTCAACAGGTTACCTGGATACATCTTCCCCTCCTCACACGTTCCAGTCAAGAACCAATCAGCTAACAGAAGAGTGGGACTCTCTTGTGAGTTCATTCTCAGTAAGGGGAGAACAGGACGGTTTACTCAACTCCTACGCAAAGGGAAGGGAGAAGCTTTACCTAGAGAGATGACAGCCTCATAGTTTTCCTGCATTACAGCATCGTAAAGGGCCTTCTGAATGGGCTCCAGTAACTCCCATTCTTCCTGGGAAAACACATGGCCACTTCTCTAAAAGTCAACAAGCTCTAGAGAAGAGAATGGACTGGGGGCTCGTCCTCACCACTACAGAAGCAGCCTGACCACCTGGCGATCAACTGCACTATATTAACCGTATATGATTTCATATATAAGTATATACATGAAGGTAGAAAGGGAGGAGCCGAGGGTTCAACAAACGGTGTGGGAGACGTCCAGTTCCCCCTAGCTAAGCCTATTTGTCCAGAACATCTGCATGACATGCCTCCTGACACCTGCAGGGCAATCCGGACAGCAGGGAGAGGCAGATGAGGTGAATGAAGCTGGGGCAGTTCCAAGCAGCTGAAAGTACAGCTCACCTGGGACTGGCGGGAGGAGCTCAGCTGCCACTGTCCAATCTTCAGTGTGTGTCTGCTCAGGAAAGGTTAGAATGTTGAGCAGGCAGCGCCATAGGTGGGAAAAAGCCAGGGGAATGTCTCTCGTTTCTGACTATGAATACCCTGAGGTCATTTCTAAAACACAGAAGACCCCAGTTCTTTCAGCAGAAATGGGACACCTTCACACCTTCACAGGTGTCTACGTGATAGAGAGAGAGGCTTCTAGATTAGAACGAAGAATCTATCAGCTCCCGGGAACTGGTTCCTCAGGCGATGATCCTTGGTATTCATAAGTGCAGTTAATAAAAAGCCCTGTTCTTCCTTCCCTCGTGTGACATAAATTGTTTGTGTTGGGCAAAACTTAAGGATGATTGAAAATGAAGTAATCGAGGACTTCAGTGTGCCAAATAAAAGGAACAGAAATGCATTTGGCAAATCCAAACATAAGATCAGTGTTTCTAAAGAAGACGAGCAAAGGCTTAAAGTAGCAGGAGATGAGGGCAGAGAGATGAGTACAATCGCTTTGTGAAGGGTTCTGGGCCTGAATACAAGACGTCACTGCAGTGTTTGCAAACAGAGAAATGTCATGACTTGATCAAGATTTTAAAAGATCACTCTGGCTACTGTGTGGAAAACAGACTGCTATGGCGGGAGCAGGAGGGGGCAGGAGCAAGCCAGTGACCAGGTCCAACAGGCTGAGACCAGGATGTTAACAGTGTAGGAGGCTGAGACACGGCTGCACCCAACTGACAGTTGAGTTAAGAGGACTAGTGACGAACTGGTTGTAGGGATGATGGAAACACCAGAGCAAAGCCTCACCCCCATGTTGTCCAGCCTGAAGTATGGGCAAATGGTGCTGCCTTTTGCCAACATGGGAAAGACATGAGAAAAGCACATAAAAGGAGGGGGAGGAAGGGACAAAGAAGTTCAGGATAAGAAATGAGCAGGCGCGTGGGGCAGAAGCTCCTCGGGTGTCTGTATACATCCTTCCCCTCCTTCACCCCTTCCAGATGAGGGTGAATCAGCTGACAGAGAGCGGGACTCTCAAGGGGAGAACAGGACGGTTTACTCAACTCCTACGCAAAGGGAAGGGAGAAGCTTTACCTAGAGAGATGACAGCCTCATAGTTTTCCTGCATTACAGCATCGTAAAGGGCCTTCTGAGTGGGCTCCAGTAACTCCCATTCTTCCTGGGAAAAATACACGGCCACTTCTTCAAAAGTCAACAAGCTCTAGAGAAGAGAACGGACTCGGGCTCAGTACTCACCACTACAGAAGCAGCCTGACCACCTGGCGATCAACGGAAGGAATCAACACTACAGGACTACACTCGCGTGCTGTGGCATGACGCTGCAGCCAGCGACACACCACACATAACACAGTGCTCCCGAAAGACGATAAGCAGGTGAAAAGTTCCTATGGCCTAGTGACGTCACAGTACAATGCGTTCTATGTCTGTGGTGATGCTATACTGCCAGATGTATATAATTACAAACAGTACAGAACACTTGATAGCAACAGCAACTATGTTATTTACTGGTGTATGTTATTTACTGTAACACTTATCTTTTTAAAAGATTTTTTAAAGAATATTTTTGTTAGAGTGTATTATTTCTGCTTATAAGAAAAATGTACTCCAAGACAGAATGCCATGCTACTCAGCAGCCTCATGTATCCTGTGCTTACCTTGTTTCTTCGGGCTATCAAGAGGCCCCATCAGATTCTGGACATGACCTATATCAACTAAGTTTGATTAAGTCCACTCTACGATATTGTCACAATGAAAAGTCACTTAATGACACATTTCTCAGACTATATCTCCACCACCACACATGAACGTATTTTTAAAAATGAGAAAGCATACAGGAACCAATGGATTAGCAATCATCTTGGGAGGTACCCAGTTCCCCAGGGAAGATCTGGGGCTAACAAGCCTCCGAGCCCCTCCTGGGCAGAATGAAGCTCGCGCAGCAGGGAGGGGCAGACAGGTAAGGCGCAGGCAGCCCTGCCTGGCTGCAAGGACAGCTCACCTGGGACTCCGGCAAGACAAGCTCAGGCGCCACTGTCCAGTCTCTGGTGTGTGTCTGCTCAGGAAAGGCTAGGGTCTGTCGAGCAGGCAGAGCTGTGGGTGGAAAAGGGCCAGAGGAAATTTCTTCTTGTGAACACGCTGAGCTCATCTCTAACCTAGAAGATCCCGATTCTTCCAGCAGAGATGCCACACCTTTATAAGCCTTCTATGTGGTACCAGACGTGGCCTCTCCATAAATAAGAACCAAGTTATCTATCAGCCCCAGAACCATTTCCCCGTTGCCACAGTTGACTGTTCCCTGTTTGTTGAGAAAAAAAAAATCCTTTCATTCTCTTCTCATGACATAAACAGCTCTGAGTTAGGTAGAAAGCGAAAGTATTTAAAAATACTCAGGAGGAGTTGAACTTTGGCACAGCAGGTTGAGCTTCTGCATGCAACACCAGCGTCCCATAGGGGCGCTAGCTTGATCCCAATTTCTTCTGCATTTTTAAGGACAAGGTGGTTCCAAGCCTTCCTGTTTTCTTTCCTTCCTCTCCAGTTTTCTAAGGAGTAATACCAGGGTCCTGTGGTTTGGCTGTTTCTTTTTGCACTGCAGGCAACCCCCACCTGCACCCATAGCTGCTGCATTCTACCAGTGCCTGGTGGGACGTCTTACTTGCTGTCATGGCTGCTGTTACAGCTCCCAGAGAACGCCTATGACATCTTGGCTGAACAAACTATTATGGCAGATCCCAGAAGGAAATTACTATCATAAAGCTCCTACCCCTCTCAGAAACAGGTCCAGCTCCTTTCTCAGTGATCCTGTCCGGTTGTCCCTGTAGACCCTGGTATGAATTCCAAACATCTTCACGCAGGGACTTGCTCCCTGGTTGGGTCTCTGCTGCCTTCAGCTTCAAGCCTGAGACTTCCACTGCTTCTTCCGAAGGCACTGCCTCCTGCTCCAGCTCAGAGACTGCAACCTAGAGAGAATTCCCATCCTCATTACCACAGCAACAAGTATACAGCCCGGACTCGGAAAGTGTGAGACACCACGGGGAATGACAAAAGAATCTGAAGAGACTGTGCCCCTATTCCACAAAGAACTCTCCACAAACCTGGAGAAATTAAAAAGCCCTCCAACACAGCAGCCCCCACCTCTCTGCACACAGTCCAGCTCCGGACACCAGCAGGCCTGGGCAGGCCACCTAGTCTCACACGTGTCAGACTTGGGTTTCACTTAAATCTCTGCCTTAGTGGTTTTTTGTTTTGTTTTGTTTTGTTTTTGCTATTTCTCCCTAAAAATCAAGGCACTGAATAAAAACATTTCCCCATCACATGTTCCTATGGCCAAGGAAGGTTTTCACAGAGAATGGGGACAGAGCAGGAAAAAAAAAAAAAAAAAGGAAGAGGAAAAGTGGCTCCAAGCTACCTCCAAATGATTTGAATGAATACATGTATGTCTTGCTCTGTACTCTTCACAGGAGGCCCGAAGCCAGCAGTGTGTTGCCACCTATCCTCGTGCACTCCCTGGTTCCCAACCTGTCAGCAAAGCCAAGTGCAAATCACCAAGCAGGGCAAGGGAGGCTCTTGTCTGCGTAGGGAGGACACTCTCCCTCAGGGCCTTCCTTCCGACAGCTGCTCTGCTGCGATTTTTCTTCTTTCCAATGCTCTGTTTCCCTTTCTTCTACTTCTTCTCTCTGCAGTCTTGCCTAATTGTTTGACTTTTCCTTCTCTTTACTGTTCTTCTCTTCTGTGGTCTCTAAGTAGTCTCCCTTTCTTGGAACTGCTCCTACCGCCAATTCTTTACTGCCTTTACTTCTGTTCTAAGAACTTGAGTCGTGGTCAAGGCAGAACTAGGCTTATCACCTCATTCACTCTGGGTCCAAAAAAGGTTAAATAAACAAACAAAAACAAAAACAAAAACAAAAAAAATTCTCTTTCTCTAAAGCCAGTCTCTACCATGATCTCTAGATGTGGCATGACTTTTGCTGTGGGACTATGGTTTCAAGTCCCACCTTACCTGTCCTACAGGACCAGAGAACAGTGATACAATCCATCTCAATATTCAGGTAACTCCCCCCACCGCATCACATCCACCTTCACGCCATCTCACACGTCCCAAGTATCCTCACTCACATCCTTCACGCCATCTCACGGCACGTCACACAAGAATCTCCTCACTCACATCCACCTTCACGCCATCTCACTGCACGTCACACGTCACCTTCACGCCATCCCACTGCACGTCACACATCACCTTCACGCCATCTCACTGCACATCACACGTCACCTTCACGCCATCCCACTGCACACCACACATCACGAGTCTCCTCACATCCTTCACACTATCTCATGGCACATCACACATCACCTTCATGCCATTTCACGGCACGTCACATGTCACCTTCACGCCATCTCATGGCAAGTCACACGTCACGAGTCTCCTCACATCCTTCACGCCACCTCACGGCACATCACATGTCACCTTCACGCCATCTCATGGCACGTCACACGTCACCTTCACGCCACCTCACTGCACGTCACACGTCCCGAGTCTCCTCACCCCACTCCTCGCTGGACCAGATTCTCTCTGCAGGTGCTCTAACAGCGCCACAGCCTCCTCAATGCTCTGTGGACGCTGCTGCTGCATCTCGCTCTGCATCTCCACAGGTAGGATGGTCAGGAACTGCTCCAACACCAGCAGCTCCAAGATCTGTTCTTTAGAGTGGATCTCTGGCCTCAGCCACAGACGGCATAATTCCTGAAGCTGGCTGACTGCCTCCCGGGGTCCAGTTGCTTCATGGTAGTGGAAGTTCCGGAAGTGCCAGCAAGAGCTCTCAGCACTGCGACTGTCCGCTTGTGGAGCGGAGTGTTCACTCTGACCGCAGTGCTCTGTCACAGGCCCCTTGGTCTCCCACAGAGCCCTGATTTGAGGATCCAGATGAGCAGCCACCTTCAGTTCTACCGTCATCATTCTGCTCTAAAAACGCGCTCTGTGTCCAACACACACTGAAGCCACCGCGGACAACGGACGCCCGTCCGCTCTGGTACAAAAAAGTCAACAAAAGGATCTTCTTCCCAAGAGCACTGAGGGCAGAAAAAAAGTTCATGTCAATAACAAAGTCACAGCTCCTTAGCCTCATAGCAACGGTGAGAGAAAAACGAACAGAACAGGCCTTCGTGCTTTCTCTTTAATCAGCGGCCTGCAGCCGGCGCTGTGGCCCAGAGGGATAAGCCGTCACTCGTGACACCCACGTCCTTTACCTGAGCCAGTCCGAGACCCAGCTACTCTGCTTCCAATCTAGGTCCCTGCTAATGCACCCAAAAAGCAAAGGATGGTGGCCCAAGCGCTTGAGTACCTGTCATCCACGTGGGAAACTCAAAAGACTGGTTCTAACTTCAGCCTAGCCGAGACCTGGCTGTTGTAGCCATCTGGGGGAGTGAACCAACGGATCCAAGATCTTTCTATGTCACTTTGCCTTTCAAATAAAGCAATGTCTTTTTTTATTATTTTTTTTTTATTTATTTATTTTTTTTTTTTTTGACAGGCAGAGTGGACAGTGAGAGAGAGAGACAGAGAGAAAGGTCTTCCTTTGCCGTTGGTTCACCCTCCAATGGCCGCCGCGGCCAGCGCGCTGCGGCCGGCGCACCGCGCTGATCCGATGGCAGGAGCCAGGAGCCAGGTGCTTTTCCTGGTCTCCCATGGGGTGCAGGGCCCAAGCACCTGGGCCATCCTCCACTGCACTCCCTGGCCACAGCAGAGGGCTGGCCTGGAAGAGGGGCAACCGGGACAGAATCCGGCGCCCCGACCGGGACTAGAACCCGGTGTGCCGGCGCCGCTAGGCGGAGGATTAGCCTACTGAGCCGCGGCGCCGGCCAATGTCTTTTTTTATTTTTAAATCAACTAATGGGGTGGGCATTTGTCACAGTGGTTTGTCACCACTTGGGAATATGTTACACTTGGGATGCCTACATTCCATATGGAGTCCCAAGGTTTCGGTCCCAGCTCAGCTCCCGGTTTCAGCTTCCTGCTAATGTCCACCCTGGGAAACTAAAGGTGACGGCTCAAGCAGCTGGGTCTCT